GTAAAAGAAAAGATTCTTTCATTGTTTTACAAACCCTCCCCCAGGTCCCCTCCACCATGTAGCCCTCGCTCTAGACTCCTGTGATGACAGAAATAGGAAGACACAAATTTAACTAACAAATTATAAGTACATGAGTCAAAAATTAAAAGCAATAATATTCCAAGTAGAGGTTTTAACAGTGGCACAAATCAAGGTACAGAGGGAAGGTAGTTCTTAAAATCAAAGGCTTATTGACTGTCACTTTGTCTATTATAGTGTAAAGGTTACGAACCACAAGATGTAGAGACTCAACTATGTCATTTATTGTTCTTAAGTCCTGGACCAAATTCCGTCTACCGCTGGGTTATTTTACAGCTCAGAAGTCCACATGCAAGACAGAGGTGAAGTAAGGAATTGCTTATGAGGTTTTTCCGTCAGTTCTAATAACTAAGAAATAGTGAGAAGAGTTGGGACCTCAGAAGGCTTTTAGGACCAAATAATAGGCTGTGTCCAGGAGAAAATGAATATACTTACCAATAATGTTAATGCTCTTCCATGGCTCTTCAGGGAAGATCTGAATCATTGAAGCATCCTGATTTCTTTTTTAATTGTATGTCTTCCCTTTAAGTTCTGGAATTGTTTTGATTCTGAAGGAATACCTTTACTGGGTATAGAATTCAAGGTTAACTAACTGGGTTTTCTTTAGGCTCCCCAGTGAACTGTCCTGTGGCTCCATTGTTTCTGATGAGCAGTCAAGAATCACTTGAGTCCTTTTTCTTCTAAGTGTATTTATTTTTGCTGATCCTCAAGATTTTCTGGTTTTGCTTTTCACATTGACTATGATGGACCTAGATGTTGTTTTCTTTTAATTTGGAACTTCCTATATCTCTAAATTTATGTCTCACGTCAGATTAAAAATTTGTGAACTGTAAATTTTTCAAGTATATATTTTCTCCAGTTTCTCCCTCCTCCTTGAGTCTTATGAACTCCTTGTCAAACCTTTTGATGTGATCTCACAGGCTTATTTGTTTTCAGTTCTTTTCCTCTTTTTATTCCTCTGTTAAATCATCTCTATTGATCTATCTTCATGTTCACCGACTCATCTCAGTTGGCTCTTAAACCCATCCAGTGACTATTTCATTTCAGATACACTTTTCCAGCTTTAAAATTTCTATTTTATTTTTCTTGTAATTTTTCTGTTCAGCTTTCATCTCTTTTCATTCATTACGAGTTGCTTGACACTCATATCTGCTCCTTCTCCCATCTGGGAGTCAATCTCTGATTATCTTTTTCTCCTGAGTATGATCATGTCTTGCATTTCTTTATGTGTAGAGTAGTTTGAGATTTTATTTTTTATATTGGAGATGACACATTGTAATGAATGTACTCTGTTTTTTCTCCAAGGATTAGTAGGATGGTGGTTTTTGTTTTGTTTTAGAAAGTAGAACTTAAACTGCAAACTCTGGCTCATCTGTGGCGACCTGCAGGCAAAATCTCAGACCAGTAGGACAATTACTTTACACCTCAGCAACCTGATAGATTAGGGATCCATCAGAGGTCTGTGCCAGATGTGTACACACATTCTCAGACTGACTGACCATCTCTGACTGTCTTTTCTGGGAACCCACACACATTCCAGCTATTTTGGTTGCCTCAAACTTAGCATTCTGGATCTTCGGTCTGTCAGCAATGCAGGTTTCTTGCCAAGATTTAGCCACATCAAATAGTACTGACTGAGTTTTTATCAGATTGTTGTTGTTGTTGTTGTTGTTGTTGTTGTTGTTGTTGTTGTTGTTGTTAAATGCCACCAAGTTGATCAGGACTCATAGCATTCCCTATAAATAAAAGACCTGAACCCGGTTTTATAACTATTGTAGTTTCTCTAAGTTCATAGAGTTTCCTGAGGCATGTTGCTTAGGAAGTGGATGCCACACCTGCTTCTAAGCCTGTCTTAATCTGAGAAGTACACCAAACATTGTCCACTGTGGGTAACTATTATGATATTTGACACACCAATGGCAGAGTGTTCAGCATCACAGAAACCCCAAGTTACCTCAGTATAGCAAATTGACAGACAACACAACACCAGCCGAATTTTAAATACTAAGGCCTTCCATCATGTCCTCTTGACTCTAAACAAGAGGCTTTCGCCCACAGGTCGCTGTTAGCTAACTCCAGCAAATCCAGTCAGCTCACACACAGTTATGAATGAAATTAAAAAACAACCAAACAGTCCACACCTGACTCCCCCAACACAAAACATCCCACCTTCCAGAATCCAATGACTTCACACATCAGCCTCCTGGTATTTTTATTTTATGTTAATTGAAAAAGTTTTGTAAGGTTATATTTTATCATTAATGTGTTCTAAATGATGTTTATTAAATCAAACACGCCAGGACCATGATTTTCAACCCCACCTAATACTAGGTCTGCCTTGTCTCATAGGAAACAAAATCCTTAGGAAATACAAAATTATGTATTCTGTTATGACAAAAACCTGTCTGCTGCCACCCAGGGGTAGAAAGCACAGTTATATCAGACTAAAGACTAGAAATCCAACAACAAAATAAACACTCACCAGTACCATTCCATTCCTTTAAAAATTGTGATTTTAACAAAAGTTCACAAAAGAAGTTGGATTTCTCATTTACTCTTTGTTGTACATTTTCCTTCCTCCCTCCACCCCAGTTTGCCTTAATTATATATATATGTATACACATATTTATGTGTGTGTGTGTATTTTCATTCATTGTTTAATAATTTCCTCCCACCCTTCCCCACTCCACTTTGCTATGCACCTCTTATTCTGGGCTATTGTCATACAAATAATGCGTAATAATAAATTTCTTTTAAGCAGTTCTTTCGTTCATCTGTTCCAATATAGTGTCTGCTCTCAGTGTGTAACTATGTGTGTCACAGACATTTATCTGTAACTATCCAATAGGACCTGCTCAGCCACTCCTGCATCCTCCCTAATTGCTAACCTTTACCTTCTTTATAATTTTCTCTGGAGCAGACAACCTGACGGCTGAGATGTGGCTCAGACACTGCCTCAGGGACCCTTGGAGCAGGAGGATACATTGCTGCCTCAAGCCTGTGGCTGTCACAGGTGTGGGGCACTTCTCCCAAGAATGCTTCAGCTCTTTGCTTTTCCCTTGAGTGCAGCAGTTAGTGAGACCCCTGCTGTCACAGATGTCAGGTCTAGGAGCTGAGCTTTGGAACAGGAAACTGGCAGAGTAAATGATGAAATCAGCAGATTTGTGGGGTTCCTGCTTACTAGTGTTCTCGGTGTCTGAGAAGCATCCTCCTGTGGCTGAGACCCCTCCTTATCTTCCCCCGGAAAGTCTGAGTCTTATTTTGTTTTCACTTTGCAGATTAAATAGAGCCAGTCAGACCTACTTCTTCCCCATCCATCTGACAGATCAGCTTCTCCCCAGTGCTGTGTTCTACGCCACCGTGGGACCACTAGTCGTCTACTTCGCTATGCACCGTTTGATCATCAAACCATATCTCAGGGCTCAGAAAGAGAAGTGAGTTTCAGATATGTCCCAGACAAATCCCTAAACAATTCTGCTTTAATTTTCTCACCTATAGAAAGGAGCTAATAAGAGAACAAACAAGTGTGTCTCGGAGAAAGTGCAGCCAGTGTGCTCCTTGGAGGCAAGGCTAATTTAGAGGTAACCACGACGAGTTCGTTCCAACTCAGTGGCAATGAGTTTGAGAGTTTTACCGTGTCTTACCGATTTTATCTTCTTGGCCCTGAATTCAAAGAGAAATTCTAAGAGCTCTTGGCGCTTACATAAAGGGCATATATTAATTATGGATGACAGAATAAGAATTAATGCCTTTGAGTTGTGGGTGATGTTTGAGAAGAGTACTGAACATTCCACCAGCTGCCAATAGAACAGATAGGTTTTAGAGATAGTGTAGCCAGAGTGCTCTTTAGAGGCAAGGATGGCGAACCTTCGCTTCACGTACTCCGGGCATGTTGTCAGCAGGGCTAATCCTTGGAAAAGGACATGATGCTTGACAGGTGGAGGGTCACCAAAAGAGGAAGATCCTCTGTGAGATGGATTGACACAGTGACTGCTGCAGTGGGTTCGAGTATGTCACAAACAATGGCACGTGGTTCAGAGCTGTCATGTCACTATGAGTCATACTTACCTCGACAGCACCTAACAACAACTTTAGCTATTGAGGAACCCTGGTGACACAGTGAACTGCTACCCAAAAGAGTACGGTGGTTCAAACCTACTAGCTTCTCCATGGAAGAAGGATGAGGCAGTCTAATGATTTACACCTCGGAATCCCTACTCTAGAGGGTCGCTATCAGTCAGAATCACCTGTTTTCTTGGAAGCCACTGAAATGCAAATGATTTTGCAGTTTTTCATTGATAATCCATTTGGACATCACATTAGATTTATACTTTTAGTAAGAGAATCTCTATAGAAAAGAGGTTTTGATTTGTTATTTTATAGTGAATTCATTTGGTAAAGCACCGTGCTGAATCTAGGAGAATGGATGATTCTCATCTTCAGAGGCCCTCTACTCTTTGAATAACTATAGTTCAGGGTTCTCCTCCAGGAGGCTTGAGGCCTAGAACAAAAAAAGTACCAGGATAAAGTCTTTTGGCAGACACAGTATATGTTTATGTACCTCAAGTGGTATTAACTGTTCCCCCCAAACGTGTTACATAATAATCCTGCAGAGTTGGTGGAGCCTCATCTGAGTCTCACCCTCGACTCAGACCTCCCACTTCCTGAGGTGCTTGCCAGGTCGAGTCAGCTTTCCAGAGAGAGAACCGTGGGCTCCGGGTGGCCAGGGAGAGCCATCTAGGGCTAAAATGAAGCCATGCGGGCCTGTGACTAACAGATTTTCTAGAGCTTGTCTTGGAAATACTTGTGAAAGCTCTAGAACTAGAAACCCTCTCCGATCACAGACTGTTTGCTGGGCTCAGGGCCAGCGAGGGGGCTCTGTTGACTCACTGCTGTGTAACACCCGCTAATGTGTGGCTTGTGTTTGCCTCATGCCAGGGAGTTGGAGAAGCAGCGGGAAAGCACAGCCACAGACATTCTGCAGAAGAAGCAAGAGGCAGAAGCTGCCGTAAGTGCTCTGTAAACAGCATCCCGGGAGTGTTTCTGATCCTCCGTCACCTCGTAGTTTCCCTCTAGCTGCAGGACACGTCAGAGCGCACAGGACAGTGTCTCTCTCCCTTTTCTAGAATTATGGCCATTCTTCTTCCTCCCTCCATTAAGGGCATTGATTTCTGTTCCTCTTCTCATGGGAATGGTCCTCTCCTAGAGAAGTGTCGGCCTAGCCTTCATGGACAGCGGGGCTGAAAAGCAGGTGTGGACAGCACCCAGGCAGCGCACCTCAAATGTGCCATGGCCACATATGCAGCCTGGGGAGCCTGTGTCCATGGGGGGATGGGCACCTCTGCCCAGCTGGGCCAGGGAGAATGGGCCCTTTGCATAAGGACTGTGTGGGCTCCTTATTTTATCTTTGTGTACCGTCAAAATGGATCTGACTGGTATAGGAGGAGACTGCCCTTCCTTCTCCAGCAGAGAATCTGGTGGATTTGAACTGCGTATCTCTGGAATTGTTGTGAAGCTTCTTGCCACTAGGCCACCAGAACGCCCTTATTTTCTTATTTTTACAGCTGATGTTGAAACCAGTGTCTTTAGACTGAGCTGATTTCACCTGTTTGCCTCTGTAGACCCCCAGAGAAGGGAACTGGGGTGCTGTCATCACTCCCACTGGCTCCCAGGGATGTGGGAAGAGGCAAGGATGCTGTGCCCCCACCAGGGCCGCCTACTCTGGGCCTTGGTGCCCCAGTGGGCTAGTTCCCGAGCCTCCTGTCCCTTTCCTCACGGAACCCCTGAACAGGACAGAGGGCCACAGACCTGTCAGTGGGTGCTCCCACAGACTTCATGTCTCTGACCTTATGGATAGAGGTGGGAACCATCAAGGGCCCTGACAGTGGTCACCTCTGTTCATTGGCAGGTTCGGTTAATGCAGGAATCTGTACGAAGAATCATTGAGGCAGAAGAGTCTCGAATGGGTGAGAAAGCGGGTCTTCCCACAGGACAGGGGTTGGTACTCCGGGTCACACAGGAGCTTGGGGTTCCTTTCCAAGAGCACCATGTACCCTTGGAGGCCGGCTCTGGCCCTGACTGAGACTGTCCCTCAGGGCTCATCATTGTCAATGCCTGGTACGGGAAGTTTGTCAAGGACAAGAGCAGGAAGAATGAGAAGGTCAAGGTGATTGACGTGACTGTGCCCCTGCAGTGTCTGGTGAAGGACTCCAAGCTCATCCTCACAGAAGCTTCCAAGGTACAGGTTGCAGCCCCAGCATGCCTGTGACTAGGAGACTCGATAAGGGGAAGGGGCATTCAGAGGAACAGATCCGTCTGACAAGGACAGCCTCACCACTTTGTGCAGTGGAGTTGTTCTCCTGGCCTCTGTTCAATGTGTGGGATGCCCCCCGGAACCCGAGTAACAGCAGCATTGGAATCATTTCTTTCATTTACTCGATCAGTGCCTATCTATTGAGAACTTACTCCGTGCAGGTACAGCAGCAAACCACAGACATCTGCCATTGTCAAGTTTACATACTCTGTCTTCCATGCCTGGTTCTGAAAGAGCGTGAGGTAGTTGGTGCACATGGGTTACTCACCACTGTTGCCCTGGGAGTGGACCATAAAGATGTGCGGAAATACCAGAGAGCCCAGAGCTCCGAGGAAGTCCCCTAGCGTCTGGGGCCTGGCCGGGCTTCTGTGAGGATAGAAGTATTTTTAGCTTAGGGGGAATGGGCCCATATTGAAAAGGCAAAGTCTAGGACTAGATGTGCAACTTTGAGAATCCTTCGAGCTCTAAAGCTTACATCTGACATGAGCAGGTCCTGAGGGAAAAGTCAGTCTCCATCTAGATGTAACTTGAGGTGGAAGCAGAGTGTCATGGCGGGTGTTTTCAATGCTGGCTACTCGGCCTTGAGAATCGCCATCTGTGTGTTGCAGGCCGGGCTGCCTGGGTTCTATGACCCATGTGTGGGTGAGGAGAAGAATCTGAAAGTGCTCTACCAGTTCCGGGGTGTTCTGCATCAGGTGATGGCGTTGGACAGCGAGGCCCTGAGGATACCAAAGCAGTGTGAGTGGCCCCCTCCTCAAAGGCCCACCTGGTAGCATGGACCAGGGAGGGGATCCAGGCCACCACTGGGCGGGGGCTCAGCAACAGCTGCCTTCTTGATAACCAAGTCATCTGTTCTTTTACAGCTCACAGGATTGACACGGATGGATAAACTGCCTGAAAACCAGATTAAAAAGAGGCTGCAAAAAAATCTTGTCCTGGGAATCCACAAATTTGGAAGCAGGGAAAAACCCCCAAGCATCAGATTTCTTTTTTTATTTTCTGTTATTCCTCTAGACGATGGTACTGTATCGGTTCTGTGCAGGGACACGCAGACCCCCAGCTCTCACGGGTGCTGCAGGCTGAGCCGAGACCTTCCTGGACCGCAGTCACCACACAGCTGTGTCTGTTGTCCTAAGATCATGTTCCCAAAGGGAGGGTGCCCCGGACTCCACTGGTCCCACCAGGCTCCTCGGTGCGCGTGCTGACTGCCGCCTGCCACCGGCAGTCCTCATTCTGTATTCAGGTGTTTCTGAAGCACCCCACCCTCACACTTGGGACTGTGAACTGCTTTTCCTAAAATCCAAACTGAATATAGGAAGCAGAGTGGAAAAAACGGAGGCATTTCCTATGCTGAGGCCTCTGGGATCATGTGAGCCAGCTTCTGACCACCTGTCTGGAAACTGAGCGAGTCGGGAGTGCATTTTGGGTTTATCCTAGGCTTTCCCTCCAAGAACATCCATTTGGAAATTGGTCTTTTTCCTCCTACTCCCAGAGTGTCTCAGAGCAATCATTCCAGCCACCCCTGGCCTGTGGCGATCCCAGGGACCCACTTTTGTCCTGGGTCCTTCCCTTCCAGGCCCTCTCAAAAAAAGGCCCCAAAGCCGGTGGACACAGACCACACCTCCACCAGACGCACAGCTGAGTGTGACCCGCCTGTGCCCACACAGATCTACAGTACAAGGTTGCTGTGGAAGGACGCTCACAAGGAAAGAGGGAGCATTCACGTGTGGGGAGCTAAATCAGGCCTTCAGACAAAAGTGCCAAATCCTGAGGAAAGAAACAGTAGGAAAGCTGCCCTGGTGACAAGGAGGCCTTGTTCTCTCACTGTGCCCGTGCTGCACTCGAGCCCCCAGCAGATGGCACTGCTGCTCCCCAAATGCCTCTTCAAAGCTGGTCCTTGCCTTTTGAGGTGTGGCTCTGCTTTCAAGCCCCTTTCTTCTCTTGCCTGTTCTGCAAATGCAGAATTCTTCAGGAACCAGGGTGCCCCCCCTCAGCCAGCTCTTATAACTGAAGTGAACAACTGCCTGCTGAGCTGGGGGCAGAGGGCTGCTGTCCTTCCGTACCTGGCAAGGTTCCTGTGCCCCTGGGACAACCCAGCTTCCAGGCACTAGCAAGTCTAGGGAGCAGGACGCTGCTGGGCAGTGGCTTGATTACCAGCCCAGGGGGGTTGACCAGCTGGTCCTGCTTCCCTGGTACTGGAACCAGTCATTGCTAACAACCCTCTTCCTCCGATTCTTAAACACCGTTCAGGTTTTAAGGTTCTGTAATCTCCATTTAAACAAAGAAGCCCCCCAGGTCTGAACCCTGAACATGAATCGTGCAATAAACCTTGTGTTGAGTGGATCTCTCTGGAAACAGCTGTGTTCCCTTGGCTGTTGGTTGTTCTGAATCTTCATTTTGTTTGAAGCTGATTGTACAGAAGGTACCCTCACACCATAATAAACCTTTCCAGGAAGCTGGCGATCATATTTTTAGCATTATTTGTGTGGGTTTTAAGGCCCACACATACCCCCAGCCCACTCTCACCTACCACCCCACTGTGCCCCAGGCATTTCACTGCATCCACTCTTCATTTCTCCTGGTTGAACCACATTTTCAACTGAAACTGAAGTCTAGTTTCACAAAGTCTGAGAAAGTTCACATTCAGAAAACCATATAGTCTGGGGGTTCTGTGAGTTTTCTCTAGTTAAATGAAGTCACATTAAAAGCCAGTGGATATAAAGTTGTTATTATGTGCCGAGTCTCTTGCGACTCATAGCAACCCTGTGTACAACAGTCCTATACCCTGTTCTATCCTGTGCCAATCTTACCTCTGCACACCTACCCCCATTCCCCCAATCACTGAGTCAATCCGTCTCTCAAGAGTCTTCCTTTCTCGTGCTGTCCCTCCACCTTCCCAAGCATCAAGCATGAAATCCCTCTTCAAGAATTGGTCCCTCCTTGCAACATGTCCAAAGTATGTCAAAGCTTCAGAATCCTTGTCTCCAAGGGGCAGTCAGGTATCAACCCCTCTAGGATCAACCTCTTTGTTCTACTAGCAGTCCATGGTATGTTCCAGTACCACAGCTCAAAGGCATCAGTTCTCCTGTCATTCCTAGTCATTGTCCAGCTCTCTGATGCATAGCAAGTAATTGCAAAGACCATGGCCTGGATTAAGACACACCTTAATCTCCAGAGTGGTATCATTGCTCTTCAGTACTTTGGAGAGGTCTCTGATGGCAGACTTACCCAATGCAATTTATCTTTTAATTTCCTGGCTGCTGGTACCAAGAGTGTTGATTGTGAAGCTAAGCAAGCTAAAGCTATTAACAATCATTTCACCATCTATCATGATGTTGCCAATCTGCCCAATGGTAAGAATCTGTTTTCTTAATGTTGAGCTTCAATCCATATTTAAGGCTATGGTCCTTGACCTGCAGCAAGTGCTTCAGGTCCTCAGTTACAGCAAGCAGGGTTATGTCATATGCATAATGCAGATTATTGATGAGTCTTCCTCCAATCTTGATGCCACATTTCTCATACAGTCCCGCCTCCCGGATAATCTGTTCTGCATATAGATTGAAAAGGTCTGGAGATAGGACACATCCCTGGCATACACCCTTCCCAATTTTGCACTATGCAGTGTTTCCCAGCTCTGTTCTCATGACTGCCTCCTGGTCCAAATGGAGGTTTCACATAAGCACGATCAAGTGTTCTGGGATTCCCATTCTTCTCAGAGTCAGCCACAGTTTGTGATCCACACAGTCAAAAGCATTTGCCTAATCAATAAAACACAGACATTCCTCTGGTAGTTGCTGTTTTCAACCAAGATTCATCTAACATTACCTAGTACCTTAGTACCACAGCCTCTTCTAAACCCAGCCTGTACTTCATGCTGTTCTCTGTTGATGTGCTGTTCCAGTCATTTTTGGATAATTTTCAACAGACTCCTGTTTGCATGTGCTATTAATGATGCTGTTCAATAATTTCTGCACTCTTGTCGGGTCACCTTTTGAATGGGAACTAATACAGATCTCATCAGTTGGCCACATGGTTGTCCTCCAGATTTCTTGGCACAACTTGGTGAGCACATCCAGGGCAGCATCTATCAAGAGCGGGATAGAGGGAGATAGCTGTGGAATGGTGAAAGTGGGAGTAAAAGCTGGTGGAGCAGGGAAATGGGTGGGTCAAGATGTGTCAAAGTGGGGACAACACTGAAACTATTGGTTATTTCTACACTTGGGGAAATATCTTTCATTTTTTTCTGTAAAATACTTGTCTGTCAGATACTGTTCTAAATCTGAGCATTCACAAATTAAGACAGACTAGGATGGTAGGATCGGCCATCCACTTCTGAAATGGGCTTTCGAAAACCCTATGTACAATAGAGCACACAGACTAGCAGATAGGGTGATGTGAGGCAGAACTCTCAAGTATGGAAACAAAGGATAAGAGTTGTAAGCAGACACTAGTGATTTGAACATGGAAAGTGAGAACCATGAATGTAGGAAAATTGGACATTGTTAAAGCGAAGGAATGCATAAATATTGGCATAGCAGGTACTGTTGAAATGAGATGGACTGGCATGGGACATTTTGAGTCAATCACATCTACTATGCTGGAGGTGGATATAATGTAAATTAGGCTACTTATATAAAAAAAAGTCAACCTTTCTGTAAACTTTCATTAAAATCACAAATTAAATTCTAGAAAACAATGTCTGCAACAGCAAAGGGTGAACACAAAGACTGCAAATGTGCAAAAGTAAATAAAGGAAAACCTCAAGAAATGAAGAAAAAGTAAACAGGCTACACTTTTGATAAAAATAAAGGTCAGTGGGGACACTGTGCAGCCACCTAACACAGCAGACGAGCAGAGCTTACATTTCCTACTTAGATGTTTGTTTGTTTGTTTCATATTTGTGTGTGAGTGTACCGTCAAATCAGATCTGACTGGTACAGGAGGAGATTGTCCCTCCTTCCCCGGCAGAGCATCTGGTGGATTCGAACCATGTGCCTCTGGGATTGTAGTTGCAGCTCCTTGCCACTAGGCCACCAGAGCTCCCCATACTTAGATGTTTTGAAATGGAGGAAACACAGCAGCACAAGAAGACATTTTATTGCTGTGCACTCAAACTAGGCCAGAGAGGAGTCACCACTTAGAGCAGGGGCCAGGCGCAGCCCCCAATGGTAGGGACACTGACCGTCCATCCAGACTGACATAGACTCAGCCCTCACCCCTTTATCTGGGTGCTAGGAATGACCCTAGAGGTCCAGTATGTCCTGGGACACCCCCAGGAAGCTGTTCTCTCTTCTGCCACCACAGTGGCTGCCCGCCCAACTTGCGCGGAGAGTACAGGTATGAACAAGCCCACCTCAGCTAGCTGTGTCAGGCTGGGGCTCACATGGCCCCCTCATGGTCCCTCCCTCTCCTCTCCTGATGCTGCCTCTAAGCACTTCACATCTGATGACGTCTGGATCTTCACTACGTAGGTTTCCTGTCCTTTCATTCACTGCCACTAAGTGTCAGCAGCATGAAATGTCAATGGCAAGACCCAGAGCCCACCAGCAGGCCCCGGTCCTCGGCCGCACCGCTCAGTGCTGCTCAGGCAGCGGGTGGGGCTGGGGTCGCAGCCGCTCCTCTCTGCGGGCACTCAGACGGCGCCACATCCTCTGCATCTCCAGCCTCTGGGTCTTCAAGCGCCTCCGAAGCTTTTCATTTTCCTTCAGGGTGAAGGAGAGTTTTTTTTTCAAGGCGTCCAAGTCCAAAAGGGCGTAGCTGTGATCAGAGGACTGCTTGGGCAGGGGCCGCCTCGGCCCGCTGGGGCTGGCCGGCTGGCCTGGGACCTCAGCAGCTTCAGGCCTATGTGGCAAGACCTGGGGACAGAGGCAGGTGAGAGCAGAGCTGCGTGGAGGCAGAATCTCGGGGTCACTCGGACACTGGTGCACCTCGGCAGGGTCAGAAGGGGCCAGCAGGGAAGGATTTGCCAGCAGGGGACAAGTAGTAGGAACCCTAGGGGTGGCATGTCACCAGACCCAGCCAGCACCCAGCGCTTGACGGCACTTGAGTGGCACTTGACTGCCACTCATTTTCCACAGCTCCCCTGAGAAGTGAGGTGGCGAGTTTAGGGGTCATGCAGCTAGCCCTTAACTGGGCAGGTCTGAGGTGCACATCTCCTCCTCTAGGCCTCCACTACAGGGCCCCATGTTTGGTGGGAACCGTCTGCTGAGACCCGCCTGCCACATGCTGCCTTCTCCCCTGACCCCTGAGGTGGGCCTAGCATCTTACCTCTTTCCCAGGAGCTTCCGCATTTGGAGGCAGCTGAAGCTCGTCCAGGGCTGTGTCCATGCTTCTCTCTGTGCCGTCTGTCCCCACCACAGGCAGGACCTGCGGAGCAGGGCAGTGTCGGGCCCGCTGCCACATACCCCAGAGCACAGGTACTGCTCACCCCAACTCAGGGAGTGTCAACCACCAGGCACCAGCCGCATGGTTTGTGCAAGGACACAAACCACCAGCCACTTCCTACCACAGACTCTAGAAACGGAACCTTAAGGATCAAGGGACAACCCACACCTGAAACCAGCTGAGACGATTTGATGGCAGCCAGAAAGAAATCAGCGTAAGACGCTTGCTTTCCCTTTTCTCGGCAAGGAGGAGTCCAGAGCTTAATTTAGAGGAAAGCACAGCAAAGCCTGACTGGCTGCCTTGTCGTCTCCACCTCACAGAACAAACCAACTTCGGTGGCAGCTCACGGTGGACGCACCTTTCCTTTCTGAGCGTCGTTGTTTCCTCTCGTCCCGGTGGGATCTGTGTTCTCCCCAACCAGCTGCAAGAGACAAAATCAGGGAGCAGTGTGGCAGCTGGTGTAACAGGGTCACACCCTGAAGGCCCCTACAAGCCAGGGCATGGGCCTGCTCTGCCTTCATCCACTATTCACCCGAGGCTGTCACTGGGCAAATGGTTACAAGCTCTGGCCTAAAGCACTACGTCTCACTGCCCACCCGGGCTCTGCTCTGTCCCCAAAGACGTTCCCACGTCCTGGATCCTAGACCCAGGAGAAGGCCCTCTGCAGCCAAGGCTGTGTCCAAGCTCTATGTCACCCTAGGCATGCAGCAAGTGACTCAATAAATGTGTTCTATGAGTAATCACTGTGCAGTCGAAAATATACTTCACTGGCTCAGATGCCACCAACTCAGCACTGGCGGCCCCCAGATGGCCAGGCAGCCGCATCCAGAGCTGAGCCCGCCCAACACTCGCTTGCCACACCCAACTCTCCCACCACGGCGGCACTGAAAGAAGTGGGATTAGATGCCATCTGACCAATTTTTCAATTCACAGCAACCCATAAAGATTTCTAGGCTATAATCTTTTCGCAGAAGCCGTGGTGGCATGGCAGTGAAGGCATTCAACCAGTTAACCAAAAGGTGGGCGGTTCCAATCCATCAGCCCCTCGCCAGGAATAAGATGAGGCAGCGGCTTCGGTAAAGGCTGTCAGCTCTGGGGACCCTGTGGGAGTGTTCCACTCTAAGAGGTATGACTGAGAGTTGATGGGGGATGCCAGTGGGTGGGTTAATCTTCAGGGAAACAGACTGTCTCTCTCAACCAGACAGTTGCTAGGTCAATTCAAACTGTCAGCCAGCTGAATGCTTCACCACTGTACCACCAGGGTTCCTGAAAGAACTGAAAAAAAAAGACCTCAAAATGCCATTCAAGGGAGCTCTGGTGGCCTAGTGGCAAGAAGCTGCACTGTAATCCCAGAGTGTACGGTTTGAACCCACCAGATGCTCTGCTGGAGAAGGAAGGGCAATCTCCTCCTGTACCAGTCCGATCTGATTTGACGGTACAGGCACAAAAAAAATAATAAAATTTAAAAAAAAAATAATAATGCCATTCAGTTGAACCAACTGAGTTGCTGAGCCTCCAGCAGGTATTTGGAGGCTACAATTGCACCACAAGAGAAAGCCCAGCTCTCTCCCCAGAGCCAAGCATTGATTCGCACATCAGAGAGGCACAACCTTTGGGTTAACATCACTACTCCCTGCAGCCAATGCGACCAGAGCTCCCAACTAAAACAACTAAGAAACATGAATTACAACTGCTTCCTCCTGCCCCAAATTGTTCAGCTCTAATTTCTTTAAGACAACCCAAATCCTTCAGGGATTTTTACCCTGAATGTTTAAAGTGGTTAAGGTGTACTCTATTTACCAAACACGTGTTCAGCACCTCCGTTGAGTCAGGTCATTTTCAGGGTGTTGGAAATAAAACACAAACCATGCAAAACCCTTGCCTTCATAGGGATTACAATGTGTTTACAAAGACAGGTTTGAGGAAAGGGATAGGAAGGAGGAGGTGTGTGAGAACGAGGTGGTTGTGGGCAGGTCCTACATGAACAGCCATGAAGGTGAGGTGGCAGGCATGAGCGTATCTGAGGGGAGGTCATGCAGGTAAAGGAAACAGCAAGTGCTGAGGCCCAAGGTGTGCTGCGTCAGCTGCTGAAATGGCCACGCTGCCCCCCAAGCTGCCGTTTGTGTTTGCCACTGTTTTACTGACAGTTCCAAAGAGCAAACAGGCACAGGCCTGGAGTCCCTAGAGGTGGCAAAGGTGAACATGCTCACTGCTAATGGAAGTTGGAGGTTCAAGTCCACCCAGAGGGGCCTCAGAAGACAACCCAATGATTTACCATTGGAACATCAGCCATTTGAAAATCTACTGTCCTATGTCTGAGGGGCATGGAGTTGGGAGCTGATTCCTGGTGAAACACACCTTGTTTGTCCCACTCGTTTCTCCCACCCTTGCGTTGCCTCAGGCGTCAAGCGGCTACACAACCTGCACTTCGGTTTTGTGACTGGAATGAAGAAATATAAACCACGCCCCTGGCTTCAACTGCTGACATCCATGATCTTCTTCCTGATCCAAAGCCATGCACGCCACCTCTCCCTCCACGATATTCCCACCTCAGTGTCCCACTGGTCAAACTCAACGTGCAAAAGACCAAACCCCTTCCTGCTGCCTGTCTCAGGAAGGAGGAAACCACATTCTCCAGGTCTCAGAGAGCTCCGGCTCTCCCTCTCCTGTAACACCCACTCACCATCCTCCAGGCCCACCCACCTGTCACACCATTCCTCCTCTCTACACCCCACCT